TCCCAGAGTGCTAGGATTACAGGCGTGAGCCACCGCGCCCGGCCACCTGTGTGTATTCTTATATTTACCTCTGGCCCTGTTTCAAGTGCTTGCGCGTGACTACTGGCTACTGCGCTGACAGCCCGTCTTTAAATGAACTGGCTTCTTTTTAATTACATTTATTTTAAAAGGAAACATTACATCACAACCTGAAATTTTAAAAACTATCGAAATGAATTGCCATAGATAGAAGTACAAGAAACGTAACTGGGGGTAGAATAATGTTATAAAATCCTAAGCTATATGCTGTTGCCGTCTGAAGGTTCCAACCTGCAGCTCTCGGGCTCGCTGGGTGTCTGAGAGGTGTTAGACCTTTCTCTGACATAAGCAGAAAGTCTGCAGAGGGAATCACCTCCTCCCCAGACTGTCCTGTCCCTGAAGGTCCCTGCAGTTCCACCTTCATGCCCTGCTCCTGAGTGCGTTCCAGGGCAGGGGCAATGCACCCTTTCCTGGCTCCACATCTGGAGGTGAGGCATGTCCCCCCAGAGAGGGGCCCAGCCTCCAACCTTCCAGTTGGGCCTGTCATAACATGGTCATGTCTAGTGTCCAACCTACCCCGCCTCTGTTTCACATATGGGAAAACCGAGGCTCAGAGATGGGGGTGGGATGGGGGTTGCCTTGGGCTGCACAGCCGTCGAGGCAGACCCAGAGCCCAGGCCTCCTGACTCTCGGGCCAGTGCCTGTGTCATGCAGGGTGACAGCTGGGTAGTTCCTGAAGGGCACAGAGTCCTGATGTGCTGTACAGATTGCCATTCCCTGCTCGGGGCTGGTTCCTTGGGCTTAGCGGGAGGGAGGGAGGGAGGCTGCAGGCTCCTGGGGGGTTCCGGGGGCTTCCTGGGATGCAGGAAATGGCCAGAGCCATGTGTTCATTCAGCAGATGTCTGTAGGCCCCTGCAGGACACTCAGTGGTGCAGGTGATGCACCTGGCCTGGCCCTCCTTGAGGTCTTGGGTGGGAGTGGGGTGGGGGTGAGCGATATTAATGAAAATGATGCTCTGACCATTTATTTAAGACTGTGGGAAATGCCACAAAAAGGAAACCAGAAGCCTTCTGGGGACCTCTACTAGACTGGAGTCTTGAGGGCTTCCTGTAAAAAGTACCTTTGAGGCTCTGGGTGAAGCCTGGGGGCAGGGAGCGGCCTGGGGCTGGACCAGAGAGAAGGCCAGTGTGGACGAGTAGCAGGGAAGTGGGCGTGGCCGGCGCCGGAGGGCCAGGATAGGGCAGCGGCCAGGTTATGCGGGGCAGGTTTGGGGCGTGGGGAAGATGTTTTCTGGCTTGGGTTAAGGAGCACTTCAGGGCTCCAGGAAGCCATGGGCGGGCTTTAGCCTGGAAGAGATGAAAGGCATGATCGGGTTTGTACTTGGAAGGGTCTTTCTGGCTGCTTTGTGGGGAAGGGGATGGGAAGTCGAGGCAGTACCACGGGCCAGGAGAAGGCTGTGTCCCCCAAACCTGGGCTTATTTAACAGGCAGCTGGAACCCTCTAGACATGATTCCTGGAGTTTTTACAATCATCTGCTTGGCGGCCCTGGGGCCCGGCCCAGCAGAGGTCCCCTGGACCCCTTCATCCTCTGGGGGACTGTTGCAGCCACTCTCGGGAAAGGGGGTACGGGGGTGGGTGGCAGATATCAAAAATGGTTTCTGAATGGAAGCAGGATTCTTCTTCTCAGACCATGCCTGTGGAAGACCATTCAGACCCCCCCGAGGGGTCTGAGGAAGCTGCAGAGCCCCGAGCGAGCACACCAGGAGGTGAGGAGGCTGCTGGCCCTCCAGAGGGTTGTGGGTTGGGCAGGTGGGTGCAGGGTCCGCAGGTGATGTAGGCAGATATGGGATGATGGTTCTTGGTTTGGGGTGGAGGTCAGCCCAGGCCTCGTCTCCCAGAGCTCAGACACGCTCTATGTGGCATCTGTGTTCCCTCCCTCTCCTGCCTCCCCTCCAGACCAAGGTTCAACCCCCCGCCCAGATGACATCCCTAAGGAGAGACACACTCCGGCACCCGGGCCTGAGCCTTGTGAGGTGTCTGAGCCGCCAGCCAAGAGGATGAAGAGGTAACTGATGCCGAAAACCTACCCTGGGCCTGGTGCCTGTAGTCTCATTCCTGCAAAGGCCGGGGTGGGGTGGCGCAGGTGGCGCCCCATCAGTGGAGCTGGAGCAAGGAAAGGGCCTTGGCTTCTGGCTTGGAGGAAGGTCAGACTTATTCCTGCACCTTTCCTGGAGAGGCTCCAGGCCAGACTCTGGCGTCTTCCTTGGGACTGAGCCCCCAGGGGCCAGGCTGGGTAGCCGGGTTGGAGGGGTGAAGATGTTCACCTGGGACTGCAGAGGGTGGGTGGGGTTACAGGGCTAATTGGTTACATGTTAGCAAGTTGTGGGAGGTGAGAACAGTCCTCCCCCATTTACTGAGGTGAAACTGAGGCCCAGAGAGCCAAAGGTATTTGCCCAAATCCCCCAGCTTGTAATTGGTAGAGTTAGCATTGGAAACTGGGTCTTAGCCTTTCCTGGAAGCCCCTTGGCCTCTTGGAAAACATGACTTTGATTTTCTTTTGCTCCTTCCTAGCTCAGAGGAGCCAGCAGAGAACGGGCCTCCAGGGCAGCTACAGGCGAAGGTCCAGCCACAGGCCCGGATGACAGTACCGAAGCAGACACAGACACCAGAGCTGCTGCCTGAGCCCCTGGAAGCCCACGTGCTGCCACGATTCCAGCCACGAGTCCTGCAGATCCAGGCCCAGGTGCAACCACAGACTCAGCCACGGATGCTACCAGTGGACACCCAGGTGCAGCCAAAGCTGCAGAAGCAGGCACAAACACAGACCTCTCCAGAGCACTTCGTGCCACAGCAGAAGCAGGTGCTGCCAGAGCTGCAGCAGGAGGCTGAGCCACAGAAGCAGGTGCAGCCACAGCCGCATTCACAGCTCCCAAGGCAGGTGCAGCTGCAGCAGGAGGCAGAGCCACAGAAGCAGGTGCAGCCACAGGCGCAACCACAGCCGCATTCACAGCCCCCAAGGCAGGTGCAGCTGCAGCAGGAGGCTGAGCCACAGAAGCAGGTGCAGCCACAGCTGCATTCACAGCCCCCAAGGCAGGTGCAGCTGCAGCAGGAGGCTGAGCCACAGAAGCAGGTGCAGCCACAGGCACATTCGCAGCCCCCTGTACAGGTGCAGCTGCAACTGCAGAAACAGGCCCAGACACAGACGTATCCACAGGTACATACACAAGCACAGCCAGCGGTCCAGCCACGGGAGCAGCCACCAGAGCATCCCTCAGCGCAGGCGCCAGTGCAGCCACCAGAGCAGGTCCACGGGCAGCCTCAGACCCAGCCGCAGGAGTCAGTGCCGGCACCAGAGCGAGCACCAGTTCATGGCACAGTGCGGGAGATGCCGCCTGATACAGTAGAAGCCGGAGGAGGTAAGTGAGCACGGGCTCCCAGCCGGCTGGTGATAGGACGTCTCTGCCTGGGCCCTTCATTCCTCCCAGCGCACCCTGCAGCTGAGGGCTGGGCCTGGAACCCAGGTCCAAGGCCACCCACGCCAGGGGTTTCAAGGTCCTGGCTGTGGGCACAGAAGGCAGCTCTTGGGCCCAGGTCCCTCTGGGGCCAGGGTGGGAGGCGCACTTTGGGAAACGGAGCTCATCTTTCATTTCAGGCTTGGAGAAGGCCTCACCAGAGCCAGCGAGCACCCAGGCCTGCGTGGGAGAGAGCCGGGAGGAGGAGGCAGCCAGCGGCCTGGATGTGGGAGAATATGAAAAAAGAGCAAGAGAGATGCTAGGGGTGGGTCGAGGTGCTGATGTGGCAGCGGGAGGGCCACAGGGCCACCAGCGGGGTCGCCCCTTGCTGCTCCAGGTCACCTCAGGGCCCCGGGTGTTTCCCCACCTGTGAAATGGTGCAGCAGCCCTCTGCCTGGGGCGCGCGGGCAGACCGGACTGGGTTTGCTGGTGCTGGGGCTGTGCGGCACGCTCTTGCTCTTGGATTGCCCTGACGTGCCTTGCTTCAAAGACCTGGGGGTATTTCAAGTGACAGGCGTCCTTTCCCACCTGCCCATCCACACGCTAGAGCCCCCAGTCCCCTCACACGGTAACAGTGCTCTGGTGGAGAGCGCAGGGCGTGGATGCTGCTCTGTGGGGCTCGGGTCCCAGCTCAGCCTCAGAGCGAACGCACAGGCAAACCCATTCCCTGCTTGGGTCTTGGTTTCCCCATCTGTCACATGAGCGGGGGCAGGGTGGCCGTTAGAGTTAGGTGGGCCTGGCTTCCCATCCTCACTGTAATATGTTCTAGCCATGTGAGCCTGGGCAGTCACCTGACAGCTCAGAGCCTCAGTTTACCCGTCAGGAAGGTCTGATGAGGCAGTGCTCGCAGATACTTAGTGTGGGGCTGGACCTCCGTAAGTGCCCAGCTGGTGGAAATTCTGCTCCCGCTCCCGGTGCAGGTGTGGGGCGCCGGGGGCTCCCTGAAGGTCACCATCCTGCAGAGCAGCGACAGCCGGGCCTTTAGCACTGTACCCCTCATACCCGGGCCCCGCCCCGGCGACTCCAGCTCCACCACCTCTGTGGCAGCCAGTGCGCCCGCTAGGCAGGCCCTCCAGTTCTTCTGCTACATCTGCAAGGCCAACTGCACCAGCCAGCAGGTACTGCAAAGCCAGGCCGGGCGGGAGGGTGAGGCAGGGAGAGTTGAGGGTCTCCATGGGGTGCCCAGCGGGCCCTTCCCCCGGCTGCCTCAGGGGCTGCACTGGGCACTCGAGCGTTTGCACCAAAAACAGTTCCTGAGCAGCCAAGGAGGCAGGCTTTTGGAATCAGGAAGACCTGTTTCAAATTGGCTCTGAACAGCTGTGTGGGCCTCTGAATTCCACCCCCGTGCCTGAGTTTCCTTTCGCGTCAGATAAAGAAACATTTGGAATCCACCTCATTGGGTGGTTCTGGGGACTCGGCGCCTTGATGTTGGAGTCGTGAGCCCAGGCCTGGCCTGAGGTCGTCGTGAAGCCCAGGCAGTAATAATAACAGCAGCACACTTGTATTATTACTGCTACGGCTGTTGTTACCTCTGAACTCTGTGCCTTGCCTGAGCAGAGCCACGGAGGCGAGCCAGGCTGCTGTGTGCTCACCTGTGCCTGCGCAGCCTGCACAGGGCTGCTGTGAGAGAAATGCCTCCGGTGATGAGGCTGAGGCTGGAGTCTCCCTCCCCAGGCCCAGCCTTGCCCACCCTCCTTCCCTCCCATTGCAGGAGTTCCAGGACCACATGTCGGATGCTCAGCACCAGCAGCGGCTCGGGGAGATCCAGCACATGAGCCAGGCCTGCCTGTTGTCCCTGCTGCCCGTGCCGCGGGATGTCCTGGAGAGAGAGTCTGAGTGAGTGGGGGGTCGTGGAAGTTCTGTGCTGAGGGGTGGGCAGTCTCACGGACCAGGCTTGCCGTCTGCAAGGTCTGCCTTCAGGGTAAGCATTGCCCTTCCCACCCAGGCCCCTTCACACCAGTCACTGTGTGACCTTGAACCTCAGTTTTCCCCATCTGTGAAATGGCCTGGTGAGGGGTATAGTGCAGGAATTCACAACAGCCTCTCATGGCTCTATCCAGGCAGGAACAGTGTGACCACCGATGTGGGAGGGCGTAGGTCATGGCACAGACCTCTGTTCCGCTAGCATGTGTGCCAACCCCAGCCAAGGGGGCAGCATGGTGAGGATAATTGATCTTGTGGCTGAGGGTAGGGCTTCCTTGCGTTTCCCCCTCCCATTGTCATGGGGGCTTGGTTGATCAGCAACTTCAGTCCCCCTGGAGTCTGGGACTAGCTCTTGGGGTGAGAAGGCTTTCCGGGAAGCTAGAGGAGCTTTCAGGACCCCGTGGGCAGTCACGGAGGCCTACAGGGTCTGGGAGGTGTCATCAGAGCAGCAGGACAGTGTTGCCTTGGGCCACCTGGGGGATGTGACCTCTATCTTATAGAGCAGCTGCCTCTTAGCTCCTGTTCTCCTAGTTTTTTAAAGAAGAATCCAGAAATCCAGATTTGTATGTGAAATCTACTGATTTCAAAATGTTCACAACTATTTCAGAATTGAATCAAAACAAAACAAATCCTATGGAGGACAAATCGGACAGTCCCTTGAGTCACTGGTCAGGGACTCTGTCCTGAGTTTACAGAGGTAATGGTTTGAAGCTCCCCAAGTGGAGACAAAGGGATAGGAAAGGCTCTTGGTTGACCTCTGCTTGCACGTGACAGGGAGCCCCTTCTCTGCAGTGACTTTGAGAAGAGCTTCCTTAAGTGGTTTTATACTTAGGTGAAATAATCACAAACACAGGAAAAAGGTAACTCACAAAGATGTTCTTTGCAGTTAATATAATGATGAAAAAGTCTAATTGGAAATGATCTAAAATATCCAAAACGAGGGGATTGGTTGGATCAGTTAAGGCCTGTCCACTTGGTGGAGCAACCAATAAATAGGACACTTGCCACGCATTTATAATAATGCAGAAACATGAGGCAGTGTCAGGGCAAAACAGGATTCAAACTTGCACATGCAGAATGAGCTTGACTGTATAAAAATAGATACTGTGACACACAGGAAAACCAGCAGGACATGGGGCAGGCTGTTAACAAGCTTCAGGTGGGATTCATCGAGTGTCTCCCATCCAGTGACTTCTCCCGCCCCCCCACCCCCGCCAAGCCTTGAAGAATGTGACAGCCTTTCCAATAGGCTGCCCGTCCCTTTGTCACCCAGCACAGTCAGAAACTCTGGGCGGATCCCGAGCCGGCCCTGGGGATTCCAGGATGGGGTCCGGTGGGGCAGAGGGGGGATCAGGTCCTCCCAATCCATTGTGGGAAATGGTGTGGTAGTGGCACTTTGGATCCCCGAGGGGGCTTACTGGGATGGGGACAGCTCCAGGAATGGGTCAGGGTCAAGAAAAGCCCAGTGAAAGGCGGGGCATCTACACCGAAGGGTAAGTAGGAGTTCTCAAGGTCACATATCCTCAGTTGTGTCGCCATAATGGTGGCCTCTTGGACCTGCCAGTAGTGATTGGAGCCACACATCTGTCAGTGCCCAGCTGCACTGCAGTGTTAACAACAATTTGTAAAACAAAATAACCCTCGCCTTGGTCCCCGGCATGTGGACATTGATACCGTCCCCTCGTATCAGATGGGGTCTTCTGCAGTTGTGAGTGAGAGAAACTCTAATTTCTGTAAGACACTAATTGGCTCGAGCAAAAAGGAGCAGTGTTTCTGGTACATGCCACTGGCGAGGTGAAGACTGCAGCTGGATCCAGGGACAGCATTGTAGTGAAACAGCCTCTCTAAGAAATGCTGTCCCCTGGGCCTAGGTAGGCAAGGCCAACTCTAGCCCAGTCAACAGAGCGAGACCCTGTCTCAAAAAAAGAAAAAAGGATTTTTCTGAGGACAGTAAGTGTCCCTAAACCCTTAAACCTGGTACCCTTTTCTATATGGTTGATGTGCCTTTTTTGATTCTTAAAAAATTTTTCCTGATTATGAAAACAGTTTGTTCATTGTATAACATTTTGAAAATACAAGAACACAGACAAATAAAAATTGCCCATAACCCCATTGCCCAGAGATAAAGACTATCACATTTTGACCTAGCTTATCCCATGGTCCTTGCTGTGTTTATGCAATCTTTAAAACGATAAAAATTAGAATCATGGCACCTGACATACGTGAACACTTCCCATGTCTCTGAACAGCCCTCGACAACGGGGTTCTTACCAGGGCTCGTGCCATTTTGCAACATGTACAAGTTTTAATTTTATGTAATTTTTTCCTTTATGATTTCTAGCTTTGATGTTATATGTAGAAAGATCCTCCCCAACCCAGGATTATATAAATATGTATAAATAGTTGCCTTCCACTTTTTAAAGTAAATGGTTTTTTTTTTTTTTTTTTTTTGAGACAGAGTCTCACTATGTTACCCGGGCTAGAGTGCCATGGCATCCTAGCTCACAGCAACCTCAAACTCCTGGGCTCAAGTGATCCTCCTGCCTCAGCCTCCCGAGTAGCTGGGACTACAGGCATGCGCCACCATGCCCAGCTAATTTTTTCTATATATATTTTTTTAGTTGTCTGATTAATTTCTTTCTATTTTTAGTAGAGACGGGGTCTCGCTCTTGCTCAGGCTGGTTTCGAACTCCTGAGCTCAAACAATCCGCCCGCCTCGGCCTCCCAGAGTGCTAGGATTACAGGCGTGAGCCACCGCGCCCAGCCTAAAGTAAATGGTTTTGATGGGTATTTTTTTCAAGTGATCCTTCTGCCTCAGCCTCCTGAGTAGCTGGGCAGCATCACTCCCAGCTAATCTTTTTTTTTTTTTTAAGAATCAGGATCTCACTGTGTTGCCCAGGCTGGTCTTGAACTCCTGAGCTCAAGTGATCTCCCCGCCTCAGCCTCCCAAAGTGCTGGGATTACAGGCATGAGCCACCGCGCCCAGTCTGGTTTTGATTTTCACACCTGACTCTCTTGCAGTCCAGCTAGAATTTATTTTGAAGTAGGCAGAAGGTGGGAGCCAAAGGCTTTTCGTCTCCAAGTGGACAGCAAATTGTCCTGACATAACCTATTGTATAATCTATGCTTTTCAATGCCAATTTATCAGAAGCTGAATTCTCATCAATATTTGAACCTGTTTAGGACTTTCTGTTCTTTCCCATTGCTACACTGTCAGGCTGTGCATCACACTACCCAGTTTTCACTATTGTGCCTTGTGCTTTTAATTTTAATGGCTGGTATCCCAAATGCTTCTAAATTTCATCCCCCCTGCCCCAAAGTTTCCGTGGTTATTCTTGCTTGACTGTTCATTCAGATGACCCTCAGAACCATGTTGTTAAGTTTCAAAAAAGATCCCACTGGAATTGCAATTGGAATTGCGTTCCATTTATGGAGCAGTCTGGGAGGGCTGCTGTCTTTCCAACCAGAACATAGTGTCACATTGTACCCGTTTTGATTGTCATCATTCAGAGACCCTCCACCAAGGCGCTGGTGCAACACCTGCCAGCTCTACTACGTGGGGGACCTGATCCAACACCGCAGGACACAGGACCACAAGGTAGGAGGGCCGGCGTGCTGCGGAGGCACCTGCTGGGAAGGAAGGAGCCCCAGGTTGGGATCGGAAAGTAACTGTTGGTCTTTGTCTCTGCGTGACTGTATCTCACTGTGTGGTTTCTGGATACGTCAGTCACGTTTCTTCACCGGGCTTCAGGTTCCCCATCTGTCCCCTGCCATTCAGCCATGGAGCTCATGGGGGTCCTTTGGGTGGCTGCCCTTTTCCCTGCCTTTGCTCTGTGTCTGTCCTGTCTCTCCGTTGCCATCTGCCACCCCATCTCGTAGCCACCCACGCAGGAAAGAGATGTGTTTGTCTGTGTTCTGGTGCAGGGGAAGAGCACAGACGGGCTTGTCACAGACACGGCGGGGCCACAGAGGGAGGCGAGGTCTTGCCGGGCACTGCCTGGCTGCCAGTCAGGGGCCTTGCACCTGAGGACACCACCTGGCACCCACTTGGCCTGTTCTCCTTTCCCCAGATCGCCAAACAATCCCTGCGACCCTTCTGCACCGTTTGCAACCGCTACTTCAAGACTCCTCGAAAGTTCGTGGAGCACGTGAAGTCCCAGGGGCACAAGGACAAAGCTAAGGAGGTAATAACCCCAGCTCCCTCTGGGGACATGGGCCTAGAGAGGTAAAGAGGCTTGGCCAAGGCCACACAGCAAGCTGAGGTTTATCCCAGCCCAAACTCATAGCGGGTCTGGAGGGGTGGAGTGGGCAGGGCGTGGTGCCTGACTGCCCAGGGCCGAGCTGAGCCCCTGTCCACTCCCCGGGCAGCTGAAGACTCTGGAGAAGGAGATAGCCGGCCAAGATGAGGACCACTTCATCACGGTGGATGCCGTGGGATGCTTTGAGGGTGATGAAGAAGAGGAGGAGGAGGATGATGAAGAAGAAGAGATCGAGGTTGAGGAGGAATTCTGCAAGCAGGTGCTGGGCAGTGGGCATGGGAAGCAGGCTGGGGGCTGGACTCTCAGCCCAGGAGAGCCCTCGCCCCACCTCCCAGGGGCCAGGCACTGTGCTGGCATCGTGGGCACTAATGCATGCCGCAGTTTATTATTAACCTGGACTATCTTATATATGACCATGTGATTATGCATCATGATGACTACAGAATGGCAGTTAAAGTGTGCCAGGGCCTCGAAGCCTGGCTGAAAGTGTGACCTGTGTGGAGGAAGGGAAGGGCACCTGAGGCCCCAGGAACAGCGGCAGGAGAGGGACAGAGGTGGGAGACTGCGATGGTGCGGCTCGTGGTGGGGATGACATCAGCCGACATATTTTGAGCACTTACTGCATGCCAGGCGTGTGTACCAAGCACTGCCCAGCAGAACCTCACCAGATGGCTGGCAGGACGTGAGACTGCAGAGCCTGCGCCTTCAGCGCTGCAGCCGTGCGCCCTCCCACGCGCAAGGAGCTGGAGGCGCTTGGACTCTGCAGTTTCACAGTGTTTCCGGAGCACCTGTTCTGGGCCAGGTTCTGGGGCTGGACACAAGGACACGTGAGAACCAAGGCCTGGCCCTTGCCCTCACGGAGGTCGCCCCAGATACAGGACAGGGTGGCGAGGGGCCAGCCGGGGCTGCCGACGGGGTGTGGAAGGGCTGCAAGGGCAGCCCTAGTGCGAGGTCAGGGTGAGGCCCAGCTCTGGGACTCCATCGTGGCATGATGTCAGGCAAGCCACTTGGCCTCTCCGAGCCTCGGTTTCCTCTGCTCAGAAGTAACAATCCCACCTTAGGCTCTGAGGAAAGGCCAAAGCCCCAGGGCTCAGTCCTAGGAAGGGATCAGCACATGGGAGTGGTTGTCATTCTCAGAAGCCACATTTGTTTGCCTGGCGAGTGGTGGAGGGCACTGCTGGGCGTGGGAGGGCTGACATGGCCAGAGTCAGATGGCCTCATGCAGAAGGGGTCACATCCAGCAGGTGAGGAGCAGGCTCCTTGATCACCTGAAACCCACCTCCGCAGCACCAAGGTCACTGCAGTATCAGACAGGAACTCAGGGAGCTGGCAGGGCACTCAGGGTTAAGAGCATGAACTCTGGCTTGGGCTCACCAGGGTTCACTGCCCAGCTGCTCCATAAACCAGCTGTGTGACCCTGGGCAAGTGAGCCAATGTCCCTGGGCCTCAGCTTCTTATGTAAAATGGGATAGCCATAGAGAGTTGTTATGAGGATTCAGTGAGATGATGACGCATATGTGGGGCATATCTGGCATCGAATATGGCCACTGTGGGAACAGGAGGGCTTCCTGGAGGAGGGGGCTGATTGAGCAGACCTAGAAAGTACGGATGGGGAAGGGCACTCTGGGGGGCAGGATCAGCATGCGCAAAGGCTCAGAGAGTGCCACCCACAGCCTCCTGGAAATCAAGGGGATGGTGTGTCCAAGAGCATGGTGGGCTCCAGGCCCCTGACTGGCATCTGGGAGAGGTCTGGGGGAAGGCAGATCTGAAGCCCACCCTTGCACGTTTCCAGGTGAGATCCAGAGATATATCCATAGAGGAGTGGAAGGGCTCAGAGGCCTACAGCCCCAACACTGCGTACGGTAAGGCCCAGCCCTGAGCCCACCTGCAGGGGCTGCAGCCCTCAGACCCAGCCTCTAGGCCACCCCCAGATCCTAGCTGCAGCATTCTGACCAAGCAGCCTAGCCCCTGGTCCCTCCTCTGCTCCCACCAAGAGGGTAGGGCAGCAAGTGGGCCCTTAGAGAGGGTGGGACACCTGACTGGGACCAGGGATGTGAGCACAGACCCAGCCATCCTGCAGGTGTGGACTTCCTGGTGCCCGTGATGGGCTATGTCTGCCGTGTCTGCCACAAGTTCTACCACAGCAACTCCGGGGCACAGCTGTCCCACTGCAAGTCCTTGGCCCACTTTGAGAACCTGCAGGTGAGCTGGACGGCTCCTCCCATCCTCCCCTGCCTGGGATTCCGACTCTGAGCTGACGGCCCCTCCCTCTTTTACCTGGCCTTAGCCCCAAGCACTCTGCCCGCAGGAGCAGGGAGGGAATCTGAGCTGGGATGGGGCTGGGCTCTTTCTGTTATTGTTCTAGGGAGTGGGTACTGAGGGGCAGGCTGTTAGCTCCAGAGCCCTGGCCAGAGAGGCTGGGTGGTCACAGGGTCACACAGCTCATTGACACTGTCTCAGCTGGAGTGCAACATGTAGGGAAGAAGCCCTGACCTCACCTCACCCTTTGTGTCCAGAAATACAAGGCAGCCAAGAACCCCAGCCCCACCACCCGGCCCGTGAGCCGCCGGTGTGCCATCAACGCCCGGAACGCCTTGACTGCACTGTTCACCTCTGGCGGCCGCCCACCTGCCCAGCCCAGCACCCAAGGCACAGCCAAAGCCCCCAGCAAGGTGATGGCCCGACCCTCCCAGCCCCCACCACCGCGGCGCTCAAGCCGCCTCAAAACTTGATAGAGGGAGTGCCCGGGCCAGATCTGCTAATGCTTTTTAGGAGTCTGCGTGGAAACTGACACGGTTCATGTTTTTACTCAAAATCCAATAAAAGAAGGTAGTTTGGCTGTGCAGTCCCCACCAGCACTGCTGTCTGGGTGGATGGGGAAGGGGGACACCTCAGCCAGTTCTCAGCCTCTCTGCATGGTGTGGCGGCAGAACTGGAGGCTGAAGATGGGCTCCCTGGGACCAGGGACTCTACATCACAAGGCACTTCACCTCTGTGAGCCTCAGTTTCCCTCTTAATGTATCAGGGCTAGGAAAGTACCCTCAAGTAAGACCTTATTTAATCTTCACAATGACCCTAGGAGGCAGTCTTGTCCTTAACTTACAGATGGAGAAACTGAGGCCTGGCAAGGTCAAGTGACACGCTGAAGGCCATGCAGTGGTAAGTGGCCACGCTTTGAGCCTGGGCCTGAGCCCTGTGCTGGTCTGTCTCTCCAGCTGCACCCCGTGGAAGCTGAGATGCAGGAGCGGGGTCCTCACTGCTCAGGCCCTCTGGCTCTGAGTTCTCGGTTCACTACCAGGGTCTGCCCCCCGTTAGGACACCCCAAGATGAATCATCGGCAAATGGGCCTGGGCTGAGTTGGCTCTTCAGTTCTGCTATTTCCACCATTAGAGACAGACAGCAGACCAGCCCTGTTACTGGCCAGCCGTGGAGACAGGCCAGGAACGCAACGGCAATGCCAAGGAAGGGCAGTGCGCAGCACGTCCTGGTTACAGGCCCCAGTACCCAGAGTGAGAGCGTCACACAGGGTCACACAACATGTCTGACAGTCTCAGCCAGGCTGCTGGGCTGGGGAGCAGCTGCTGGCCAGAAATGCACCAGGTAGGGAGGAGGCCCCGACCTCACCTGCACCTTCTGTGTCCAGAAATACAGGGCGGCCGAGAACCCCCACCCCGCCACCCACTGGTGTGTGATCAGTGCCTGAGCACTCTGACTGCCCTGTCCCCCTCCAGCAGCCACTGGGGTCCTCATCCTGGCATAGAGGAGAGAAGCACACTGGTGTGGGAGACCCATTTAATGTGGACACTCAGGCCTGAGCAGAGTGGGGAGTACCCACGAGTGGGGCAGGCAGGCAAGTGGGTGGGGTGCAGGCCCACACCTGGCGTCAGGAGGGGAAGTCAGGCAGTGGAGGCTGGCCCAGGCAGGCCAACGGGAGTGCCGGCGGGGTGACCCAGGCAGGCAGACCCACCAAAGGCCAGCCTTTGAGAAGGTATCTAAGCCAGGGGGTGAGTGCCCAGGCCAGAGCCTGGCCCAAGGAGGCAGGGTTGGGGCCTGGTTGGGGGCTCCCGGAGCCTAGGGGCTGGCATCGCTGGGGGCCTCCCCGAGCTGCTGCTGGAACTCAAGGCGTGTCTGCCGGTTGGACTCCAGCAGCTCCTGGAGGCGGGCGTGGAGGTGGTCATTCTTCTCCTCCAGGTGGTCCAGACAGGAGTTGATCTGGTCCAACATGGAGTTGATGGCAGCATATTCTGGGAGGAAGGGGAAAGACAGAGTGAAGGTCCTGTGTCTCCTCGAGGCTCACAGACAACCCCTCCACTGTCTCCCAGCCTGCCTCCAAAAGGGCTTTGGGCAAGTCTCTACTCCTTCCTGAGCCTCAGTGTCACCATCTGGAAAATGGGTGGACACCAAAAGAGGAATGGCTTTGACAAATAATACCTTAGTACCTAGCACACCATCCATTTTTCTAGGGTTAGGGTGGTCAGCCAGTGTCCTACCAGGTGCCAAGTCTCCGCACTTCAGCAGCTGCCTAGAGGCCAAATTCCTGAGTCAGGCAATCAAGGCCTCTGTCCCCAGGCAGGCCCTATTCTCCAGCCCTTCTGGGGCGCCCTCTGCCCTCAGGATAAAGCACCCAGCAGACTCCCAGGCCCTGCTCCCCTCTCTGCCCCCACCTCCCGTGCCTTTTCCTTTCCTTTCTCACACCTGCTTTTGCCTACCTCAGGCCCTTTGAACGTGCTGTTGCCTCTGCCTGGAATGCGACAGGTCCTTCTGTCTTCCCTTCCTCCTCTTCTGGATGAGTCCCACTCATCCTTCAAGTCTCAGTAAGAATGTCACCATGGGAGTCCTCCCAGTGCCCCAGACCCAACCATGCCTCTATCCTCACCCCCAGCCCTCCCCTCAGGACTTTGTGCTGTGCTGCTTCGTGTGCTGGTCTGTGTCCCCCACTGACTATAAAGCTCCGTGAGCGGTGAATGGTCATGTTTGCTGCTGTCTCCCTGGTGCCCTCATTGTCACACAATAAGCATTTTTGAATGAATGAATGAGTGAATGAAGCCTCTGACTTTCCAGCCTCTCTGCCATTGCTCAACTGTCCCTGCTACCCAGAATGTCTCAACCACAACAACCCTTCAAGGACCAGCTCAAAATGCGTCCTCCAAGAAGTCCTCCCTGGTCTCCACTGGAAACCATCACTCCCTCCTCTACAGCCACTCCTGACCTGTCTCTCTCAGCAAGACAATGTCCCTTGGGACCCAAGGTCTGGGCCTGTGCCCACTGCAGGACCCAGTTCTGAGCCAGCCCATGACTCAGATACACTCGGCTGCCAGCTTGGAACCAATGGGGAAGTAGCTGGTGGAGGCTGGGCGAGGCCAGGGCCCAAGGAGTGCGTCTGGGATGTGGGTGTGAATGTGCCTGCGTTCTGGCCCCGAGATGGCCCCACTCACAGAGGACAGAGTCCTGGGAAATCTGCTGGATTTTAAAGTCCAACCCCCTTGTGGTATCGCTGGGGAAACCGAGGCTGAAGAAGGAAGGAACCTGCCCAGGGCCCTCCAGCCTCTGGTCACAGAGCCAAAACTCCGATTCTGGGATCAGGGCACTTGAGTTGAAGTTCCAGCTCTGCTCTGTCCCAGCAAGTTATTGTACCTTCCTGGAAAAGGGGGCTAAGAACTGGGTTGTTGTGAGGGTTCAGATACATCAAGAGCTCAGACAGGGTCTGGCCATAGCAAGTACTTAATAGATGGTCATTATCAGTATTTCACATTCTGTGTCACAGGACACAAGCTGTGTCTGGGATACCCTCCTACGCACTGTTCTGAGTCCTGTCTGCCAACAGCCACTCAATGTCATCTCCTGGGAGGCCCTTCCTGATGCTCCTACCATGGCTACCAGCAGTGACTATGCAGTGGCCCCTGTTCACCAGCATTGCCCAGTTCAAACTTAGCAGCCCCCAGCTACCCCCAGCGGGAGGCCTTCTACCTCTTTATTAAAAGCAGACCCTGGGTGATGAAAATGTTCTAAAACTATTGTGGTGATGGATGCAAAACTCTGTGAATGTATAAAAAGCTACTGAACTGTACAGTTTAAATGGGTAAACTGAATGTGAATTACAGCTCAATAAAGCTTTTAACTCAAAAAGAATCCTCCATACTTACCCTACATAGCCTGCCCTCTAAGCTGACACACCAGTCTTTACTACACCAAAGAGAATGGCAGTAACCACTTACTGAACACTTGCGTGCTGGAACCTGCTAAGCATTTTCCATTTATTTTTTCATTTAATCCCGACACATCCCAATGCAGGAGACAGTAATCATTATTCCTGCTTTATAGATGGGGAAACTGAGGCTGGAGGTGACAAGGGAGCTGAGGGTTCTCCACACTCTAGCCCTACACTCTTAAGCACGCAAGAGGCTGCTTTGTAAGCCGGTCACATTTGGCAAGGCTGCGAGGCCACACCTGCAAAGCCAGGTGGCCGGGGATGCTGACTCAGCAGAGCGCGCACCCACCGGGTGAGCCCCTCCCGCTAAGCCCAGCAGGCCAAGCTCGGCCCCGCCCCCGCAAGAGCCACGGTCCCCCCAGGAGCTGGAAGAGGCTGGAGCAAGTCCCAAACCCGTGAGTGTCCCTAAAGCTGCTTCAGTTTCCCCATCTGTAAAACAGGGCTGGCTCCCCACAGCTCCCCACTCACAGGTGCTCGCCCTGCATCCGAGACAGCACCTGCGACTCGGGATCCCAGAGCGGGGCGGCTCGGGGAGGACTCTTCGGTCCCTTCCCAGCCCCGAAGCCGGTCCAATTCCCCTTCCTAGCGAGGCAATCCTGTTAGAGCAAAAGGTCGCTTCAGCAGCCCCCTCGGGTCACCTGCTTCCCCGAAGCCATCGTCCTCGCCTTCCGCTCCCGCCTCCGCCGGCATGCTCAGGTCCCCGTTGGGGCCCGACATTGCAGGCTCGGGCGCCGCAGGGGCCGCGCGACGATGGAAGCGGCGACCGTCCTGCCGAGGGCCGGCGCCGGGCGGAAGGCGGAGGCGGCGGAGGGAACGCGGCCCGGAAGGGTGGAACGCAGCCGCGGATTTGTGCGGGGCGGCCGGGGCCCCGCCCCCGACCGGGGAGCCCCGCGGCCTGAGCTCCGCCCCGCCCCGGACCGGGCCCCGCCCCGCCCCAGACCCCGCCCCCGCTGCGGTCCCCCCGCACTGGCCTCGCAGTCGAGCCCCGCCCTCTCCCGCCCCTGCCCCAGGCGGTGAGTCCCCGCCGCGAGGCTCACGCTCCGGCGAGGGCTGGGCGGCCCCGCACCCCACTCTGCCCGTCCCGCCTCTCCCGCCCCTCCGTCTCCGAGACCTCCGGTGACTTCCAGTAACTCCTCTTAACAGCCCCCCTGAGAGTCACGACGGGTCTCCTCCTCCTCGCCTCCCCAGCCCCAGGGAAGGGGACCCACCGCCGCCGGCCCCTGTCCTTGGCCTTCCCGGTCTTTAGCGCCTCTCTTAGGGCTCGGTGGCTGCACCTACTGAGCCCTAATGGACGGCCAGACTCCAGCTCAGAGTAAGAGAATCGGGACAGTCCGTTTTAGGGTGAGCCCCTTAACCAGGGTGGGGGCGGAAGAGGAGACAAGGCTCCTCCTAGCCCTGCTCTTCTCGAGAGCCAGCCCGGACTGTGTCATGTTCCCAATGCAGAGGTTTGCTGCCCCCTCACACGGGTGCTGCCGTGGAGGATGGAGGTCTTTGGGCCACAGTGCTGCCAGCGCCGTCCCTCGAGAAAGGCTTCATGATAACCTGCCCAGCTGCCATCGTCCCTCCACGCCACTTACCAGCTAGGAGAGGGTGGCCTGCCCACAGTCACCCAGCCAGCAGTGTCATTCCTCGGTTAGACCCAGAGGTGTGATGCTGGCCAGGTGTCCAGCTGAGAGGCCCATGTCCCCCAGGGAAAAGGGCTCACTTACTGGGACTCCTGTAGCTGTAGTGTCCAGGAGGCCCCATGGCTGCAGCAGCCTGGTCCTGGTCTCACACCATTGTCTCTGAGGACAGGCCACCCTCAGCATAGGGGTCAGGGTTAGGGCGTGTGTCCTAGGTAGTGACAATGGGTAGAATCCTCTCCTGTCCCAGAAGCCTCCCCCTGAGGAGGGGAGAGGTGAGGTTGAGCCTACAGCCTGCTGTAAGGGTCACCACCTTGCAAGGGGAGGAGAGGCTGGGGAGGGAGTTCCTGTGTGTGGTACAGACCTGGGGAGGCTGCAGCTGTGGCCAATAGGGGGACAGGGGCTTGCCAGGCCTGACACAGGCCCAGCCAAATGACGAGTGCAGGCCTGGAGCCCTCGGGTCTCCTAGGAAGCCAGATTCCTGGCAGCACATGCCCCCCACCCCTCCCCTGGCCCTGGCTTCAGAATGCACCCCCAGGTGGTCAGGAGATCAGCACGAAGGGAGGTGTGGGGTGAGGGCAACACTCTGAATGGGGTCAGCGTGGACGTGGCCACCTACCCAATGGGCAAGCACTGGGCCCCAGGGGGCTGTCAGAGGGGCAGAGGACTGCCCCTGTGAGCCTCTCTGCCTGGAACAGCCTCAGGCTGTGCATGCCTCTGCCCCACCCTCTGTGCACCCCTCCTGCCCTCGCTGTGGCCTCCCAGCATCCACAGGGGTCTGGTGAGTTGTGGGAGGCTGGGCTGCTGCTTTGGGCCTTGTTGCTGGTGGCCGAGTGTGGGCATGATGTGTGGCCCCATCAGTATCTGTGTTGGACCGGGCACCTCAGGCAGGGGCATATGAGGGCTGCTGCTCTGGGGCCCAGCCCAGGGTCGCAGCAGGAGGGAGTGTGGTGTCAGTCAGCTGCAGCGGGGCTGCTGGTGATGACAGGGGCTCGCCCTTGCTCTGTAGCCCTAACATCCGGGTTCTATGGCCTTCATCCCTCGCTGGGGAGCTCAGGCCCTGGGAGTGATTCTGAGGTGAGCTCCCCTTGCCTTTCCCCTTCCCCATGGCCCAGGGGTCAAGAAGCAGCAGACAGGGGGCCTGGGGTCATGTGTTTATTCAGCAGGCAAGGTGGGGCTCCGTCAGCAGACTGATTGGACGGGCGGTACCGGGAGAGGGGTCTCCCAGCTCTCACTGGTGTTGGGGCTGGTGGGGCAGCTGGTGGCACCCTGGACAGGGGGACATGGGGGAGAAGGGCGGAGAGACAGGAGGCACCTGAGGAGGACACAGCGGAGGGAGGATGGCAGCAGTGCTGGGGGCAGGGGAGGAGAAAGGCAGGTCCGAGACCCCCACCCGCTGCACCCTGGCCCGCACCCTCCAGTCCCCTCCAGCCACACTCACTGTGCGCTCAGTCATCGATGCACTGGTCTGTGGGGGGAGAAAGTCCGTCAGAACAGGCCGGTGCGTGTGTGCGTGTGCATGCGAGCGAGAGATCCTGGCCTACCAGGACTTCGCACTGCCTGTGGGCAGCCCCCCACCCAGCTTGGCCCAGCTGTAAAAGATCTGGGGCTTCTCTTCAGGGATGGAGCAGCAGAGAGGCCAATGACGGGGCAAGGGGACGTGGGAGAAAGGCCCAGGGACAGGCAGCCCTGGGGGACACCGTTCATCCAGGGAGGCAAGTGAGGCCCAGCCCCATGGCCGCTCAGGCACCCAGGCCTCCCGCCTGTTTCCCTGCCGAGTCCCGGCAGCCCCTCAGCACTGGGGAGGCCAGTGGCTCTCTGAGTGGCCTGGCTGGAGGCTCCTGCCCAGGTCAGGCCCCCTGATGTCAAGGACATTGCCCAGGTCAGTGGTGAGCAAGACCCAGCATATAGAGAGGAGGTGGCCCAGGACACGGGGGCCTGGGAATGTGCGGGGAGGTGGCCCAGGGCAGTGAGAGTGGGGACACTTGGGCCCGGGTCTGCATCCTCATCTGGGCAGGCCCCAGCTAAACTGTCAGGGAGGAGCACTTGGGGCCTGGATCCCTGGAGGGAGCAGGATCTTCCTGAACCCAAAGTGGCTGCCAGAGAGCTCCTGGACTGTCCCCCCTCCAGTGGCTGAAGCAGCCAACCGAGTCTCCCCTCTCCCTCTTTCCCTGATGGGGTAGCATCAGGCCCAGACAGTCCCCATGTCCCCTCTTCCCAGCTGGCCATTACCGATTGGGACAGGGAAGATGATGTGGTCCTCCGTGAGGCCCAGAGATTTGGCGAAGCGGATGAAGTCCTCCTTCAGTTCAGGGGGCAGCTCCTTGGTTCTCCCTGTGGCCAAGGTGGCCAGTGAGTGGCCAGCGGACACTCCATCAATATTGTTGAGTGAGTAAACAAGGCCTCAGATCCCTTCCTTGCGGAGGGGCCCCCTCCCCCCAGGTGTGATCAGGAGCTGGGTCCCCCAGGGAGAGGGGGAGAACCCACCGTAGAGGGTGGTCTTGAAGTATTCCTGGTTCTTGGACACCTTCTTGAAGAACACTATGGCAAACTGGTTGTAGTTGGTGGCCACCACTCGCACGGTATAGCTCTGTATTCCAGGGTACCCTGCAGGTGTGGACAGCGAGGGGTCAGCCCTGCCCTGGCTGGGAGGAGGGAGCTGTCACTTTTCTCTCCAGCCCGTCAGCATGGACGTCTCCCTGCAGAACGGCACCTGTGTAAAGGGACTGGGGAAGTCCGTGCCCCTTCTAGGAGGACCCTGCCCCATGGAGCCCCAACCCCATGGCCCCGCCTCACTCAGGACTCACGGTTAATGTTGCCCAGGGTGAACTGGCCAGGCTGGGAGCTTGGGACAAAAGTTCTGATCCAGTATTCACAGTCCCCATTCCTGTGGGAGCATGAGATGGGCAGTGAGAGGGGACACAGTGCAGGCTTGGACTCCCTGGGCTGGGGTTGCAGCAGGACTTGGACACCCCGAGTCCAGCCCAAGCCATGACAGCCCATCCCCTCTACCCAGGGGCCGCCACCCCACCCAGCTGTGATGGGCCTGGGCCTTCCCCTCTGCGCCTTTCCCTGGCTGTACCTCCTGGGCCCTGACCTGGGTCACTGGACCCTGCTCAGGCCCTTCCCTCCCCCGGCTGCCTCCCTGGGTGGCAGTCCCCTCCCCCAGCGTCTATCCCAGCTCTTGCTGCTTCCCTCCCTACACCTCTCCTGGGGGATCTACCTGAGGTTCCAGTCTGCCGCATGCCACGTATGCCCCTAGCTCTTGGGCCAAACCAGCCCCCCAAGTCCCACCCTGCCCCCTGGCACCTCAGGGCTGAGCTCCCCAACCTGCCTTTCTTCTACTCCTTGGTCCACAAATGCTTCAACCCCCACCCGCCCAGCAGCCAGAGTGAGGGACCCACGGGAGCTGGGCTACTCCCTGCCCCACGTCCTCATTTGCCCACCCTGTCGTCTCCCACCTGTGACTTCCCAGCCCCACTTCCACTGGTCTCCCACCTTCCCAGGCTGTGCCCCACCATCTCTGCCCTGCTGCTCAGACCCACTCCTCATCACGTCCCTCCGGTGCTGATGTCTGAGGGCCATGCCAGCATGGCTGCCTGGCTCCTCCAGGCCGCTCAGTGGCCCTTGCTTGGGATGGCCCTGCTGATGTTGCTGCTTCTTGAAGACACAGCTCTGTCTGACTCGGAGTCCACCAGCCCCTGCCGTGAACACCCCTCGCCTCCTTCGGGGGCAGGTTGGCTTCCTTAAGGCCACCACCCCAGAAACCCTCGATGAAGGCCCTGAGGTTCCAGGCTGGAACTAGTGTCCCTCCTCCCATTGCAGGACACCCCTATTCCCTCCGTTTTGTTTTCTAATGACTGCGTATGTCTGTCCCCACTACCGTCCGTGTGTCTGAGCTGAAGTGACCCGTAAATATCGCTGTAACGAACAGAGGAAGGTGTGAACAAATAGATGGATTCAGTGCGGACAGTGGATGAATGACGGGTCTCTCAGCTTCTGTCACTCTTTGTTGGTGACGTTAGTCTGCCTCTCAGCCCCCTAGGAGGTGGCTCTCACCTGAGCAGGGTGGAGGTGACGTTGTAGCTGTGGTCTTTCAGCTGGTAGGTGGTGGCGTACATCGTAGACTGGCCTTGTTCTTCTTTGCTGACTGCGTTCCCTGCCAGGCCCACGACGTACCACTTCCCCTGGAACTGCAGGGGCTGCTGGTGAGCAGAGCCTGGGAATGGCCCCAGGAGCCACCCCTCTCGCTCTGCCCCTGCAGGCACCTCTGGGCAGCCTGGCCTGGAACCAGGAGTCCCTCTGGCTGGGCTTGCACTGATGGAGCTGGCCAGAGCCAGAGGATGTCAGGCTGGGAGGGAGGCCTGGGTGAGGAGGTAGCCTTGAGTCTGGCAGGGCTGGGGGCGACCGTGGGCAAGTAAGTGGCTGGTGGACCTTCCTGAGCCTCAGTTTCCTCATCTGTGCAGAGGGACTGAGGATGTTCCCACCTTGCATGGACAATGGGGATTGGGAGAGAGGAGGGTGTGCCTGGGGAGGTCTGCTCAGGTGACCCTGGGATGGCTGGGAACCGGGGCATGGGGTGTGGCTGCCATCAGGGGACCCGGGTGCAGGTGTGAGCTACAGCCTGGGCCCTGGACTCCCTGAGTCCTCCTATCCTGCCCAACGCTCCTCCTAAGTGTCTTGGCCTCTCCTCTCCTCTGCTCCCCCTCTTCCTCAGGCCCTCCCTGCAGGTGCCCTCCAGGCCCCTTACCTGGTCGTCCTGGAAGCCTGGCTGCAGAGGGACCCTGAGCAGGGGTGGGGCCGGGATCAGCTTTTGGGTGGAGTCCTGGGCCTGGGTGTGCAGGGCCCCCAGCAGGGTGAGGCCCAGCCACAGGAGACCTAGGGGCATGGTTTCAGGGCCGAGGAAGCGGTGCTCCAGGCAGCTGCTGGGCTGGCAGTGGTGGGAGAGGAGGGGAGTGAGGAGGCTAGCCCGGGGACCCTTTTTATGGGCTCATCCTAGGGCGGGGCGATTCATCCTTTGCCAAATCCGGGAAGGTGAGGCAATTGCCACGAGTCCTGCTGCAACACTTGGCAGGATTTCTGCCCCTTTCCGCCCCTGGGCAGGATTGTGCAAGTGCACGGACAGGAAGGCCTGGAGGGGAGGGCAGAGGGGACTCCCCAGAGCGACACACCTCTGCAGGGACAGGGGGTCCCTCTGTGCACTCTGTAGGGGATTCCCTTCCTCCGATGGGCCCCGCGTGTGGGCTAGTGGCCCCTGATCCAGAAGAGATGGCATCTCTGACCCCCAGCAGCCCCTGCTGCTCAGCCCCAGCCCGAGGTGGGATCCGTCCCTGCCCCATGCCCACTGAAAGCACAGAATGTCTCCTGCCAACAGATCATGTGCTGTTTCCTTGTTCTCGTAAGGGTCAGGGAAGGGTGAGGCAGCTGAGCATGGACAAGGAGGAACCGGAGCCCCATGCCAGGCCCTGGCACAGGGCGGGGAGCCCGAGAGGCTTCCCTGGGAATGCCCTGGCCTTGAGTCAGCCCCTCGCCTCCTCCACGCCCTGTTTGCAGGAGTGACGGCAGCAACACGGCCTCTCCTAGGAGGCAAGTGGGCAGAGCCCCTAAGCTGGGCACACGGGCCACAGATGTGGCTGCTCGACATAGCTAGGTGCTGAGGCTGCAGTCCCAGCTCATCATGGAGCCCTGGTGGGGGACGATGCAGGGCTCCCCTGCCCCGGGGGAGCAGGGCTGGTGGTGGTGGGTGAAAGCAGGCTGCATCCTGCTGATCTGGACACCAGATGGTTTGGGTCACCGGGAATGCCAGGATTTGACCTCATCCTTGAGAGGTCATCGAGACCATCCCCCTGTCTTTGGCCACAGCCTTAGGCTGCAGAGTCCAGCCTTGTCCTAGAGGGAAGCAGTTTTCTCACTGGGGGCCTGGCCAGCATCCTTGGGAGGCAGTGAGCCCTGTGCAGTGTCCCAGAGATGGCTCACCCACGAGGGTGCCAGATGCCTACGCTGAGGCTGGACTGAGGGTTCACTGGCCTCAGATGGGACTAACAGGGTTCGCTCTAATGACCTGCTGCTTGGGAACCCCAGGCTTAGGAAGCAGGGCCCTGAGGGAAAGGGCTTTGGAGGGGGTCCTGAGCTGGGGGTAGGGTGCAGCCTGGGCCTCCCTGAGGCCAGAGAGGCCCCCCATCCCCCTCCCCTCAGGCCCTCTCCGCTAATCTGGGTGATGAAAGGGTGGGAAGCAAAGATGAGCACAGTTGCAGGGAACAATGTTGCCACCAACGCCTGTCCCTGCAGAGGTGCCAGTGGCCACCCCGTCCCTCCAGAATCCCCTTTTCCCACCCCTCACCCCTGCTCTCAGCCCCAGAGGCTCCACCCCTGCTACTCTCTTTGACCTTAAAAAGCATCCTCAAGTCTGGCCAGGCCCGGTGGCTCATGCCTATAATCCCAGCACTTTGGGAGGTGGAGGTGGAAGGATCACTGGAAGTCAGGAGTTTGAGACCAGCCTGGGCAACATAGCGAGACCCTGTCTCCACCAAAAATACAATAATTAGTTGGGTGTGGTGGTACATGCCTTTAGTCCCACTCAGGAGGCTGAGGCAGGAGGATCACTTGAGCCCAGGACTTGAGGCTGCAGTGAGCTATGATGATGCCACTGCACTCCAGCCTGGGTGACAGCAAGATTCTGTCTCAAAAAAAAATCCCCAAAGAACCCTCAAGTCTGTAGCGACCGCAGCATGTAGGGGAGACTGTTGGTTGGAGCCCCAGAGAATTTTGAGCAGGGAAGGGGTACTGTTCTCTGGATCACTGAGGAGCCACTGGATGGAATATTCGTATTCCAGGTGCTGCAAGTCGGAGTCAGGGGGCAGAGTGGCTACTGCTCCCGGGGGCGGGGGCTCCAGGGTGCGAATGGGGGGCAGGGCGCAGGTCTGCAGCATGAGAAACCAGAGCTGGGTGCGGGAGGTGAGATGGCCCAGCTCAGGGCCCCAGACTGGTTTGAAGCCTGGTCCCCCCCTTCTCCCCGGGACACACAGACTGTCCACCTCCCACCTGCACCGCGCTCCTCCTCTGTGAAGAGCCGCTCTGCCAATGCTGCAAAGCCACACACAGGCAGCACCAGGGGCTGAGGTGTCCCCACCCCAGGCTGTCTCTGAGTTTCTGCTCAAACCCATGCAGGGCCCACTCTTCTCCCTGCACTGGCTCCAGGCCTGTCTCAGGCCCACAGGCCTTGCCTCCCTCTCTCTGTCCTCGTGTCCGTGTCCGTCTTTGTCTCTGTGGATGCCTGGCGATGGCCATTCGTTGCCCTTCCTCACCTGGCTGCCTCCTGCCTTCTTTCCTAGTCCAGCCCTGGAGGTTGGGGTGACAGTGAAGGGGACGTGGGCTGTTGAGAGATTCGGGTCTCAGATGTGCTCTGTCCCCAGCCAAACGATATGGGGGTCCACGGACTGTTGTGGCCATGGCTGGAGCAGAGGCCAGGCCATGTTGTGGCCAATCCCAGCCAGCAAGAGCCTGGTGCTGGGCTGGTAGGAGCTGGAGGGTGCGGGGGCAGCTGTGGACACCGGCGGCATTCTGTCTGGGGTAGAGGGTCCTACAGACTGGCTGGGGAGGAGAGGAAACTCTCTGCCCACCCTCCTCAGAGTCCAGCTGGGCCACGGGGAGGTCAGCCCACTCCACGCCTGCCTCACACACACTGCGAGACACGAGCTGGGAGTGCGGGTGAGGACCACGGTGTGGGCCTCCCTTTCAGATGTGGCTGACTCCAGGGCTCCTGGGTGGACAGGACGCTAGAGGCCCCATTCCTTACCTGCTCCCTTCCCACTGGGCCCTGTTCCTTGGGCCTGGGCCTCTGACCAAGGAGGGGACTTGAAGGTTCACGCTGCCCAGAGCTGGGGACGGTCTCTTGGCCCTGGGACTCTTGGAACAGTCTACACTGCATGTGTGGCACCAAGCAAATGGCATGCCAGGCACTCACCTGTCACCCCTTGGCCCCTCTGATGATCTCTACTGTGGCCCCTGGGCTGGTCCTGCTCTCTCTCCAAGAGCTGCAGATGTCTTTAGTGAGCCCTGGCCAAGCCCCTCCTAGGGGAAGCGGGGGCTGGGCCTCCCACGTCCTGTCTGGGTCTGCTTAGCAACAGCAGGCGCTTAACAGTGGTCCACACCTGGGTTTGCTACGGCCAGAAGCCAGGAGCTCTGGCTGCTCCCGACCACCTCCGCTGCCTCTGGCAGCCACTCTCCCTCCTCCCCATGCCCAAGAGGGGAGGCTCCCCAGAGACTGCAGGGTCCTGTCCTCCCACGGACAGGCCCAGGCCCCAGGCCTGTTCTAATCTGCTCGTGAAAGCAGGAAGATGTTCCCTGGTGGTTCTTGCATCTCAGGAATCCAGTCTGACCTCCTGGTCTGGTTTCTAGAAGCTTGCGAGCAGTGCTCAGCCCAGCTATGAATGACTGACCCTCTTCCCTGTTTGAAGGCTGGGCAGGAGGTGACTAGACAGGCGTCTCAGAACTGGGGCCGTGCCTGGGAGGAGCCCCTAGAGGCCCAGTCATAGCCACGGGAACTCTTGGTGTCCACAGGGGGGCCCTCCTTGGTCACTGCAGGTCCAGGCTGGGCACGCTGCCCCCACACAACCAAGAGCAGGAAGGGATCTTTGGGGTGAGGTGCTTGTTACCCCAGAGCCTTGGGTTGAGCCTCCTTTTCCAACCCCCATGGCCCATGTCTCATGCCAGGGCTCACCAGGGGGCCTCGAGGATCACCTGTCCCTGCCTGTGGAAAACCTGAAAGGCAGCCCCCCAGCCCTCCCCCGATACACTCACTGGGTTCCCCCCTCTGGTGAGACCTTGGGGTCTGCTGGACCAGGGGAAGCAGGCCCGGCTCCCTGAGGTCTGGGCCCAGGGCCACCTTCTGGTTCTGGTGCTCAGGTGCCTGGCCCAGGCACGCCCCTCAGACGGTGCTCTTGCTGTTCACTGTGGAGCCTGGAGTCCCACGTGGGCGAGAGGGCCCACGAGGACCACAGGGGCAGCAACTGGCGGCCACAGCTCAGAGCAGGGTCTGCAGGTGGAGAGTGGACGCTGGGCTCCTGTGGAGGTGGGCAGCAGGTACCTCTCTCGTAGGCCTCTGCCTGGCACAGACCTGGAGCCACTCTAGACCTCTGCTCCTCCCAGGTCTGCACCTGTCCTGCCGGGCCGCAGCCCCCGGCACTTCAGGAGGCCCAGGAAAGGGCATCCCCACTGCAGCGCCTCCTGGGTTGCCCCGTACTCCTTGCTCCCAGGCCCTTGGCTCAGCCTCTGCTGGACACCGTCAGAGGTGTCTGTGTGAGAGGACAGGTCTGGCCCTCCCGAAAAGCTGTTTCTCCTTTGTGCCTTGCCAGCCCAGGACAGGTCAGGAGTGCGCCCAGCCCAGGGGGCAGGGTAGCCAGTGTGGGAAGCGTTCAACGAGACGAAATCCCGAGAGGTTGTCCTGGCTCTGGAACCATGGCGCTCAGGCTCTGCGGGGGCTGGGACTGACCAGCGCCCCCCCCCTAGGCCCTCCCACTCATCCCAGAGGTGGAGGAAGGTTGGGGTCCCAGCTCTAGCTCCTCCTTGGCACCAGGTATTTATTCTGGGGGGGTGTCTGTGGCTGAGCCTCCCCCTCTGGGGGAGGGGGACCCGAGCAAGGCTATGACAGGCAGCAGGGACCAGGTCTGGCTCCAAAGCAAGAGCATGTCCACCTTTCAGAGAAGGGGCTGACTTGGGCCAGCAGAGGGTGGGGCGAGGGGGCAGGGAAGGGGTGCAAGGAGCACAGTAGATCAAGACACTGAGAATACCCACCCTTGGCCTGGCCACTGTCCCTCTGTGGCCTAATTCTCAGGGGGCTCAGGCCAGGGGTCTGAGGAGAAGTGTGAGTTTCTGGGGACAGGGCTTAGAGGCCCAGACTTGGGGCTGGAGGGAGGACCACTCCCTGCCCACCTCCCATGACTCTTGGAATCACCTCTCGGG